TGATTTATTATAAAATTTAATTTTTTTTAAAATCTTCAAAACAAAATAATTTTAAAATGGCAAAGAGCGTGAAGGACAGGCATGATTCCAGAGGGGGGAGACCTTGTTTGCATGTGACCTTTCTTTGTTTACTACCAAAGATTGGCCACTGATTGTGTGTGATAGACCAGTATCACCCATCACACTTCCCAAAGGATAAGATCACCCTTCACTTCTCACGCCTCACCCTACATGTCTACGGTTCTTATAGAGTTCCCAGTGAATTTTAAGGGTCAACTTCATTGAATTTTGGGTGTATCTTTGCTTTAGTCATCAAACAATATAAATCTTTAATGAAAGTTTATTTTTTTTCAATTCTTTTTTTCAATTCATTTTTAGTCATTTATAATTAAATCATTTACTTGGCGATGATATAACTATTTCTTTTATTATTATTACTTTAAAAAAATGATAAATCTCTTTTATCGATGTTATTGTTTATTAACAATTATTGTTGTTGACAATATCAATATTAAAATATTTATATTTTTTTTCATCTTTATTAATCTTAATTTATTTTTTCCCATAAAATTCACTTTAAAATTGATGAATATTAATCTAAAGCTTCAATATTTTAAGTTTTGATACCCACCTATAATCATTTGGTGAGATTAATTTCAAGATATATTGTTCATATTTTGGAAGAATATTACTTGTCATTTGGATATTCGGACAAATACACTAAACTTCTCAAATTTGACAAAGATCTCAAACCCAACAAATAGTAGGGTTTGTGCCCCATTTTCTCTATGATATATTTCTAAGATATTTTAAAGATTAAGAGATGAAAAATCGAGTCAAATGCTATCACCATACATTCCAAGAACACTATATCTTTCAATATTGAATTTTGGATCCTTCAACAAATAATAAAAACAAAAAATATTATTAAAATTCAATGATTAAAATATAATTTACCGTATATAAATCAATTGGGGTAAAGTTTGTTACGGGTAAGATCTCGATTCATTTACTAAAATTTTAATCTTAGCGTCCTGTTTTCGGTCTTTTCCTCGTCTTGGTCATGGGTCAATTCAGGTTCGCTTTTGATGTGGCAAAAAAGAGTCTCTATTTGATGTCGCGCGGAATGAAAGTCGATATCATAACATTGGTTTAATAAATTAATATTCGTGTTAACCATTGTTAATATAAATTACATAATATGATTATTTGATAAAATAATTTGTTTGGCATTATTTCACCACGTTAGACTAAAATTGACCGACTTTTTAACTTTCTTACCTCTTACATTGTCTTCTCTCCTCTCTCTAACGTTAGAGATTTTTCTCTTTCTCCTTCTTTCTCCCAACATTAGAGATGAAGTAAAGCTTTAATTTAAAAGAGAGAAAAAACGCAGAGAGATGAGAGGAGCTTGGACCCGTCTTCCATCACCTTTCCGATCTTTGAGTGCCCTTTCGATGAGTACTTCTCGAAGTTTAGGCAAAAGGGCGTATGATCTGCAAGAGTTCTTTCTCGTAGAAACGTGATTCAGGCTGTGGTCCATCTTCTACAACGTAGAGTGTTTTCTTTACTACTTGGAGAAATAGTTTTTTCACAGGTTATGGAACTGTTAATTCTTAAAAGTATCACAGTTATGGGCCATCCACATAAAATAGTTTTTTCACAGGTTATGGAACTGTTAATTCTTAAAAGTATCACTTGTAGACGACTGTTTTGTTTACTAAAATACTCAAAAGAAATACACGTGTCAGGTGGCTTCCTTTCATTTCATGTATATTTTACAGCATTATTAGCTATTTCTTTATTTTATTTTATTATGATCGTTGAATAATTTTTAAATAAAAATATTATTAATATTAATATTTTTAATTTGGATAACTCCTTTGCATGTGCGGCCACCTAATATCATCCTCCTGGGACAAAAATGTGTCTTCTATGCATTCTATAGTTTGCTTTACATACAAACAACAGGCGAATCATTTAGCTCTAGTATTCGAGAAGGGATGACTTGATCTATTACCTAGTTGGTCCACTGCCTGGACAAATTTCTTGTGGAGTTCTGGAGTCCGGTCTATCTGAGAATTTAGACCCAAAAAAAATACTTAATTTCTGCACCAGTATATAATTGTAAAAAACTTTGTGGTGTAATCTGAAGAAGTTGACAATGAAAGCAAATAATGACATGAACAAAGTGGATGTAATGTCTGTGGATGGCTGGTGAATGGCTTTCTAAATGTCAAAGGTTTTAAAATCTCGAAAGCTAAGACTTCAGTTTTGAACAGAAACATGATGGAACTGTGTGATCATGTGACGGTAGATCAGCGATTAGAAAGTAGAGGTCGAGATTCATGAAGATATGGCTGCGTTAATTCAAACCGCTTTATGGAACTGTTCATTCGATCTGAGCAGCTGGCATTGGAGATGGAACGTGAACTTGTGTTGAAAGTTGGGCCAGGATGGTGTTGAAGCTTCTGCTTGCTAAGAAAACGTCTACATGGCGGAATTACTAATAATTATAGCGGGATTAAAATATTTTTATTTTTCGTAAACGATTTTCTTTTTTAATTGAGATGCCGGATAATTTTTTATTTATTTTTCAAAAGATATATTTTTTAATATTAATTAATAATTATAAAAATAATTGACGGGAGAGATATTCTTCTAATGTACCTGACCCAAAACCCTATTCATTGCACGAAGATGTCGAGATTAATATCCTTTGATCGTTAGTTTTCAGTGTCAAGGAGAAAGAAAGGAGAAGGAGAGGAAAAACAATTGTAAAAGATGTAAAAAAGAGAGAAAAAAATCGTCAATTTCGTCCAACGTGGTGAAATGATACTAAATAAATCAGTTTAATGTGTCACATCAATATTTCATCACCCACATTAACGGTTATTAATAGAGAGTAACCAATTTGTTATAAATTATTATCGTTAGTGACCGATTTGTTTTCATCACCCTTGTTAACGATTATTAACAGATAGTGACCGATTTGTTATAAATTGATAGTGTCAGTGACCGATTTGTTTCTATCACCCATAATAACGCCTATTAACAAAGAGTAACTAATTTGTTATAAACCGATAACGTTAATGAACAATTTGTTACTTTTAAAATTTCAGTAGAGAAAAACGAAAAATTATTCAAACTTTAGTGACTATTTGTTCAGTTTACCCTAAAAAAAAGCATTAATTAATAGTTAACTAATTTAATGAGATAAGATGTTATTTTTCAAAATTAATATTTTCAAAATTAATTTAAAATATATGGGGTAACTGACGTTAAACTAATTAAAAACTTTGGCCCATGCTGTCTCAATCCAACATCAATGTGGATCTATGTTTATGTAAGATATCCAGACGGTGCAAATTTACTATATAAATATTTTTGTAATTTTGTACTATAGAAAATTATTTTTTAAGGCTTAATACACCTTTAATTGTTTAAACTATGTCTCAAAATATGATTTGGTGTTTAAAAAAATTTTCGCTAATAATAAGTACTTAACATTACAACCGTTACCATTTTAGGTGCCTAGATCATAATTGTCGTTAAATTTGGCCGTTAAGTGATACGTATCATGCATATAATTTTTTAAAAATTTATATTTTTAACCATTTTTTATATTTTAAAAAATCAATATTATAATTTAAAAAAAAAACTCAAAATTTTCTCAAATCTTAAAAAATTCACAGAACTTTCCTGTCACTCGTGAAACCTCACCGAACTCAGCCTTCTCCGACCGTCGACCGTCTGTGGTGTGCCCCGTCGACATTGGCATCGTCATTATCTTGCGACCAAATTTCAACCATCGATTCACCCTCATCAACCGTTGATTTTGTTAGAAATTGTGAGTAACCCTTCGATTCACCCTATATCCGATCTCAACCATTGTCAACATGTAATTATCACCGTCGACGACATCTGAAACGTCTTCTTACTCTAGTCAAAATCTTACCAACCACATCCGTGAATTATCATCGAACGCTGTGGAGAATGTCTCAAAGTTTCATCGGAAACCCATGTTTGATTTTAAAAAATGGTTATTTAAAAATAATAATAATTTATTTTTAAAAAAATATAAAGATTTTATTTTTTTATAAGCTTGACACGTGTCAGATAACAGTCGAATTTAACGACCAGACACCTAAAAATGTAACAGGAGAAAACATTAGATATTTATTTTTATCAAAAAATCTTTAGGCATGAAATCATATTTCAAGGTATAGTTTAGATACTTAAAAGTGTATTAAGCATTTTTTTAATAGAAGCAATTAGACTTATTAAAAAGTGAAAATATTCAAAATTACAATAAGGTTTACAACTATCATCTTAAACTGAATACATAATTTGAACATTTTCATATAACATTGAAACTAGTCACTTTAGATCATACAAGGACCTTACATGGAAAATGTTAAAAACTCAATCAAAAGACTCAAACGAAAAATATATAAAAAATCTGACTGTATGGACAAACGAACCACAAAAGAAGATTAAACTTTTGAAAAATTATCGAGAATCGTAAATCAGAGTCCGACACTATGAGAAACTATCTATGAACTCAAGATCGCGTATTCAAATTTAATCTGATGGTCCATAGTGAAAGATCATCAAGATTACTTGTAGTGTTGTCAAATTCAAGAAAACATAAAATAAAAATGACAAAATAACTAGATAAAAACAAAAAATATATCACAAAGAAAAAAAATATTACAAACATAATTATTCTTTTTAAAAAATAACAATCGGTAATCAACATGAAAATTAATGTTAACGTCGGCTAAATAAAAAAAATTGATGTGATTTATAGAAACAACACAAATCTTGTTATAAAAAATTGTTTTTTAATTTAATTTCAAAGCAAACATATAATCCTTTTCGGCAGTCCAGAATTATTCCAACACGCCTGTTAATATAAAAATGGCTTAAATTAATAAACAACATATTCGAACTTTTCTGGGCCTTTGAATAATATACTTCATGACATGTCGGAAAATTACTATTATTAAACCAAAAACTCCGAAAGAGTGTTTCATGAATTTCCTGTACATGAATCTGATCTCCCCATCTCATCTCCATTTTATCAATCAACATTCTCAGATTTTCGTATATTCTTCATGTCCTCGATCCCGATTTGATTCTTCAGTTTCCTCAATAGTTCACGCTTTTCATTCGTACTAGCAATACTTGTCGGATCGAGCAGATATAGGGAAGAGGAAAAAAGGAATCTGAAATACGTTAGATTTGATTGTGATTTGAGAGTGGGGACGAGAAAGAGATGCGGTGGATCATCTTGTAAAAGTGTTGATCTAAACAAGGACCTTATCTGATTGCTTCAAGGATAAAAATCGGAAGGAAAGCGTAAAGCGTCCACTGAAACTGAGTTGACTCGGGAAGAAAAGAAGACGACCCGCTTTTTTCTGGAATGTTTAATTTAATTTTCTCTCTTTTTTATTTGGCTGCTCATTATATAATTTATTACACCTATTTTTGGAAAGTTGGTTTTAGTATTTCTTGCATTTATTCGGATTTTTTTCCATTTTTTGTTCCTGCTTTTAAATGCCCTGCAAATTTACCCCTTATTATATTGTTGTTGTTGTTTTTGGGTTGCCACATAGTAGAGTATACAGTTCCATTTCAGCTTTCGATTAACTACTCAACTCTTGAAATTTAACGACTTGTTATTTTTCTTTTTGGTTTTCGAAGTCACTGAGATGGGGTGTCAATGCTCTAAGCTAACTCCATGTTGCTGGGATTCACAGTTCAAAGCTGCAGTGTTAGAAGCCCCTGATGTTGGTGGGTATTATTATCACAAAAATTTCTTTTTTCTACGTGGTTACTGAGAATCAGAATGATTAGTTAAAACATTTTAACTTGTTGTAGAGAACGAGATTAGTGAGGTTGATCAGTTGCCTACGTTCCGGGAATTCACTTTAGAGCAACTCAAGAATGCAACATCTGGATTTGCAGTCGAGAATATTGTTTCTGAGCATGGGGAGAAGGCTCCCAATGTTGTTTATAGAGGGAAGTTAAAGAATCATAGGAGGATCGCTGTTAAACGTTTCAATAGAATGGCCTGGCCAGATTCAAGACAATTTATGGTAGATAATTAATGAAAGTTTGCGCACTGTGTAAGCTTTGCTTTCATTTCTTTAAGTGATTGTAAATTGGGGCTATTTTATTCTGCATCTGTAGGAGGAAGCAAGTGCAGTTGGTCAGCTACGCAACAATAGATTGGCGAATTTGCTTGGCTTTTTTTGTGAAGGTGATGAAAGGTTGCTTGTTGCAGAGTACATGCCCAATGAGACACTCGCAAAACACCTTTTTCATTGTAAGGCCTTAATCCTTATGTTTTTAATATTACTGTTAGTCCTGTTGGGAAAAATGCTTCCATGAAACAAAATATTATTTTAAGTTAATTATCAGTTATTGCATTTTTAGTGTAATCTGGTTTTGCTGTATTCACCAATGGGTTTGAAATTATGTTTCCTAATCCCAAAATGGAAGTGTTTGGAGTAATTTTCTTACTTTATTAATTCAGGGGAATCACAACCAATGAAATGGGCCATGCGATTAAGGGTTGTATTCTATCTTGCACAAGCTTTAGAATACTGCACAAACAAAGGGCGTGTGTTATACCACGATCTCAATGCTTACAGGGTCCTATTTGATGAGGTAATAATTTGTTTTCTGGCTATCTCATACTTTTTTATTGGTCAGTTTTACATGATTCCTCGATTTATATGTTAGAATTCTTGCAGGATGGAAATCCGAGACTTTCAACCTTTGGCTTGATGAAAAACAGTAGAGATGGAAAAAGTTACAGTACAAATTTGGCTTTTACTCCTCCTGAATATTTGAGGACTGGTACTTTTTACAATATGGACATTTTTACACTGTGCATTTGATTTTATTGTTATCGGATAACAATGAATAATGTTCTAGCTATGTCTCCATATTCAGCATGGAAATTTGGATCTACACTATGATACCATTCCATCATAACTTTTAAGTGTTAATTGAGTTATTGAAACTTGTTTGCACATTTATCTTTCACTAACTTTTGTATTTGATACATTCTAATCAAGAACTTATTTCACACGCCTTACCATTTTTATGTAGGAAGAGTAACACCAGAAAGTGTAATATATAGCTTTGGTACTCTTCTGCTTGATCTTCTCAGTGGAAAACATATACCTCCCAGCCATGTAAGTTGCTTTTTTTTTTTGAAGATTATCATTGGGTTTGTTTCGTTCCTCATTTGGAAACACTAGCAAGTCGATCCTTAATGTGGTTGTCATGACATTGACATGTTAAGACTTGTTGTATCTCGATTGCTAATGCCCAAGTAATTTCTTCCAGGCACTTGACTTAATACGAGACAGAAATCTTAAGATGTTGACTGATTCCTGCTTGGAAGGGCAGTTTTCTGATAATGATGGAACGGAGCTAGTTCGCTTGGCCTCTAGATGTTTGCAATATGAACCTAGAGAGCGGCCAAATCCTAAATCTTTAGTCGTTGCTTTGACACCCCTTCAGAAGGAAACTGAGGTAAGTTGTTTTTTCTTTTTCTTTTTAAGAGGCAATATATTACATTTTATGTGACTCAGATGGTGAGCAATAACATTGAAGTTCAATAAGGAATCTTCTTTTCATGAAGGTCCATGCACTACTGAGATAAAAGGAGAAAAGGGACAGCAGTTCACTGAGTTGTCATTTCCTTTCCTGTGTAGGTTCCTTCACATGTATTAATGGGCATTCCAAACAATGTTTCCTTCACTCCTCTATCTCCAGTTGGGGAGGCTTGCTCAAGAGGGGACTTGACTGCTATACACGAGATCTTAGAGAATCTTGGCTACAAAGATGACGAAGGAGTGGTAAATGAGGTTTGTGCTAGTGTGCCTTCTACTCTTTTTCCCCCTCTCCCACACTTTAAATTGTAATAGTAGTTTCTTGTTTGCTACGTTCTATGTTATATTCAAATTCCCCTTTATTTCGATACTTGTTTCAATCTAAATTTCCAAAACTTGCAAAAACTCGGGAATCTATGTGCTTGTTTGGTTTCTGCCTAATACACACAGTACTTTTTTTCCATTGTTTCTGAAACATTTGTTGCGTTTTCCTGCAGCTCTCCTTCCAAATGTGGACTGACCAAATGCAGGAAACTTTGAATTCAAAGAAAAAGGGTGATGCTGCTTTCAGGCAGAAAGATTTTAAAGAAGTTATTGAGTGCTACACTCAGGTTAAGTTCTTACTATGATGTTTTCCGTCAATTTAAACAACATTTGTTGTAGCTTCATAATAATATCTATGCTAGCTTTCCTTTTGAATATTTGTGGATGGCATGTTTCTTTTCCATTCTCTGTTAAACTCAATATGTTATATGCATATTTTAAAGAATGCATTTGTAATACACGGCTGGTGAAGTTTTTAGTTTTGGGCTGGAATGTTTTCTCAGTACTCGTGATGGGCGTCATAGTAGAAACCAACTGACATTTTCTTTGTAAATTCACAGTTTATCGATGTCGGTACCATGGTTTCTCCAACTATTTTTGCACGGCGTAGCTTGTGTTATCTCATTAATGACATGCCTCAAGAGGCCCTGAATGATGCCATGCAAGCCCAAGTGATTTCCCCAGTATGGCACATTGCTTCTTATCTTCAGGCTACTGCACTTGCTGCTCTCAGGATGGAGAATGAGTCTCAAACAGCACTCAAGGAGGGCGCAAGTCTGGAAGCCAAAAGAAGCTCAGTGGCTGGGAAAAGGTAAACAGCTCTGTGTGATATTGTGAGTCTCCTAATTGCAGTGCTTTGACGATTGCCTGGCATCAATCTTGGGAGTCTGCAATGACCGCGTAACCAAGTGTTCATTCATTCTGTGTAACTCAACCATAGAAGAACAATCATTTTCCCCAGTTAATGGCAAGAGAAAGTATAGTCATTGATTTCTTTACCTTTTTTATTATTCTGGTTTTCCCCCCTTAGGAGTGTATGTGAGAGTTCTTTCATTCTTTGTTGGGTTTGATCAATTCTACTCGTTTATGTAACGAATTCTTCCTCGTCACATTGATCGGGAACCGGGATACATTTTATTCCCTTGTGCTTACCTTGGGTCAGAAAACAGGAAAATACAATGAAGCAAAAAGTTTGAATCGGTTCATAAGCTTTATAGTTTCTGAATCAACACTACGTCAAACATTTGGAACTCTATCTAAATTTTGTTAATTTCTTTTTTTCAACTCATGTTGATAAGCATTTTCTTGTATAAGAAAATATTGCATATGAATTTACATGAAAACATTGCATATGAATACAAATATAAATTGACACGATATTGCATATGAATACAAATATAAATGTACCACGTGTCATGTTTATATATTTTTTATATTTTTATTTTTTAAAAATTAAAATTTTTGAAAACAATCCGCACATTTCAAAAATTATAGGAAAACTTAAAAATAGCAAAACCCTAAGCTTCCACCGCCGTTGCTAGCATCGACCTCTTCATGGTGCCAATGCCATGTGGCGTGCTCATCTGAATGTAACTGCAATTATAATTGCACAAACAATTGTGCTTTTGAGTAGTCTTGGAGCGACGAGAGTTTGCAGAAATTTCATCGACGTATATATAACGTAAAAGCACAATTGATTTCAGCAACCATGAGGAGAAGGGACACTTGAATGTATATATTGAAAAATTGCCGCTGATGACGATAAAAGGAAGAGGCGGCAGAGGATTGGGATGATGTTAAGAGGGATGACCGATAGTGGAAGTTCGTCAAAGAGTGCGTTGTTGTTCAATGACCACGATGGTGGTCAGAGATCGCCGGTAACAACAATAAGACTTGAAAAGAAATTTGAGTTTTTTTTAAAAATAAGTTTTTTAGTTTAAAATAAAATATTGGGTAAAACATAAAATAATCTCCAAACTTTTAGAACGCTTCCATTTTGGTCACCCAACTTTTGAAACTTGAACTACAATCATCTAACTTTTACGGGTGCTCGTATTTTGGTCATCCAACTTTTAAAACTTACACTACAGTCATCTAACTTTTAGGGGTACTTACATTTTGGTCACCCAACTTTTAATCATTTACAGTAAGGTCCCTGTCGTAACCACAGTTTGTCCCAAATAACGATAAATCATTCGAACACTCATCCCCGATCTCTGTCGCCAGTCGCCAGTCGTCAGTGATCATCACTACCGATACCAGTAGGAACGTCGTCCCATTTCGACCAAAACCTTGTTAGCCACTTGCCGAGACTCACCTTCGTTCGTCGTGGAGAGGGCTCTGAATCTCGTTGAAAACCCCCAAATCTCTCTTTCTATTTTGATCGATTTTTGGCTGATAGGGTTGTCCGTTTGTCACACCGCCACCACCGTTGAAGTCCTCACACCGTTCCAAACAAAACCTAATCGGTTGTCGTCGTCGTCCCTCCTCCGTAAAGGCGAAAAAGAAGAAGGCAGAGGAGGAGGAGGAGGAGGAGAATGAGGATAAGGTGGTTAATGGGGGTTAAGTGCCACGTTAGCAAAACCTAATGGGAGAGTACGACAGGGACCTTACAGAAAACAATTAAAAGTTCGATGGTTATATTGCAAGTTTTAAAAGTTGGGTGATCAAAATGCAAGTGCCCTAAAAGTTTGGGGACTATTTATATACTTTACCCTAAATTTTTTAAAATTTAATAAATTTAACACGGGTCAAATAACAACATTTTTTAACGACGGTTACAATCAAGTCACCTAAAATTATAAAGTTGGAAACATTAGCCACCTAAAGTTATAACATCGAAAGCGTTAGACACCTATTTTTAACTAAAAAAAAATCTTTGTGCACTTAAAGTTAACTTTGAGTATAATTTATATATTTATTTTTACATTAAGCCTAAATTAAATTGAAATCATTAAACATAAAATGATAATATAACCCAATCCCAAAATGATATAATTTAAAAATCTTAACCCTCAAACTCGTTATGACCTGAATCTGAAAATCACATAGCCCGAAACTACTCGCCTAAAAGTTTCCATTTAGACAATAACTAAACAAATACATGATTGCTTCAACTGTACGAGAAACTATTATGTCTTGTGAATGATAATACATGTTTAACTTACAGAAGTGATGATATCTCATTTCTGAGTTCAGTAACTTGTTGAATATTACAGAAACAATAGACTTTCAACAAATCAAATAATTCAGATAGCCAAACATTTACAACTAATTATCTCATCATTTGAAGTCAGTTTAGGTACCGAAGAACTCACCATCATCCCTCCGCCGTTCCCTGCATTGCTGACATCAACAACTACCGTGCTACGCCCCTTCCCTATCACATAGATGGTTTTTCCGACAGCAACAAGCTTACAGGGTGGTCTCGTAAGTAGGGACGAGAGCCTCCCTATGGCAACCCAAAGATCCTTATCCCACATCATTAACCTTGTTCCAGAACTCTCATCCAGGACATAAAGGATCTCGTCTACTACAACTGCAGGCCCTTGCCAGCCTGACACCATGTCAGCATCTGCATGCTGCCAAGTGCCACTCGATGGTTCATAAACTACTGCAAATACATGACTGGTAACAGCAGATCTGCCACAGCGAATATAGATCTTCTCACCCAACACAAATGAATCTTCTATTTCAGGAATAATGTTTCCATCCGAGTGAGAACTCCAATTGTTTGTGCAAGGATCAAAGGTGTCCCAAGTATGTGGAACGCTCGAGTTTAAACCCAATCCACCAATTGTATATATTTTCTGATCGAGAACTTCACAAGCAAAGTAGCATCTGACACAAAAACACCCAAGATCACTTTAAAGTTATCAAAAGGAGAGGTAGGGTGAAGTGTCCTCCTAGTCAGGCAAGCAAAAATGGAGAATGTACACAGATCGTTATATAATGTAACAAATCCAAATATATACAAATAAATAATCATTTGCATTTCAACTTTTTACCACGAAAGGAGAGGGAGATGATGTCCTTAAACAACCGGGAAAACTTAACTTCTTCGAGAAGTAGAGAAGAAAGTTTGTTACCTCGCAGTTGACAAGGGACTAGCTTCGCTCCAAGAGTTGTTCGAAGCATCTTCAGACCACCGACACCCTCCCATCAAGTAAAGTTTCTTCCCCAACACTTCAAAATCGACACCTTTTCTCAGCAAGGTGCGAGATGGAAGCTCCCGCATCTGCCTCCAAGACCTTGATGAAATGGGATCCAATATATGGCAGCAAACCTGCTCAAACTTGTCTCTACATAATGCATAGATCCAAGTTTCATCCAAATTATGCTTTCTACGACATGCATGCCACTCTTCACTGTGCAGCAAGTCCCTCCATCTCCTTGAAACAAATTTAAGGGCGGTATGACACTCTCGAGGGACTCTAGCCAAACATAAAAGCGCTATGTCATCGGGAAGACCATATATTAGTGGCTCTTGAAGTTGTTCCATTTGACTGATTCCTTCTGATCCACCTTCCAAATTCTCCATTTTAATGGGAACCCTTGCTTTGCTTTACAGTCTAATTCATAAAAGAATCAACAGACCAGACATTTTCTCACTGCGAGTTCTCTAAGTTGCAATTAGATAATTGTTCAAATAAATAAACAAGATTATGAGCTAATAATGATGTTTGTAGTTTCAAAAAAGGATTACATGAGCGTCAAATCCCATGTTAATGCCCACAATCAAATAAAGTTTCCAGAATCTTATTCTTCAACGAAAATTATACGCGCCAACTGCCCAAAAATGAATCAATCACTTAATGAAAAAGAAAACTATGAATTTAGCGAAGATAATCATATGAAAACAGGCCAAAGCAAAAAGGGATACAGAAAGTGCTGCAAATGGAAAATTCAATCAAAGAAATTGAGGAAACAAGGATCGAAGAGAAAAATATAAAAAAGGAGGGAGAAGATGCTGACCTGGGAATATCGGATCGGGTTAGGAGCTTCAATGATCGGAGATCGACGGAAAGGCGTATAAAATTTGGGAGGTGTATGAATTATGAAACCAGCAATTTTATTTCCAAATTAAAAGAGTACTCGGTAATCTTCCGTTGGGTGGGATTTAGATAACGTAATTTTAGGGAAATTTCCTTAGCTCAATGAGAGAAAGGGAGTAAGGGACTATTAGTCTATTACGAACAAAATAGATAGACCCAAGCAAGGTAACTCAAGTTTTATTTGGGCCTATATGCTGGCGTAAGTCGAGTCCTTCGGTGAATGAATAGGCTTTGTGGGGTTCCTTCTTTTAGTAAGTATAAGATCTTCTCTTCTCTGGACCATAAGCAAAAGCATACCGTTAGCAAATTATATCGTCGTTTAATCACATTCGTGTGCATGTTTTCACAGTCTCACAATGCACAGAAGCTATTTGCAGAAATTACAAGAATTAGAAAATCTCCAGCGAGACTCTCCGCAGCTTTATTCCATAGGGATTCAAATCACGAGGACACAGTTGAGTCGTATGCTGAAAATGATTATGTATTGGTTTCATGGACATCCAAGTTGGCAAGGCAAGGCCAGCCGGAGGAAGCCATTTGCTTGTTCTAGAGAATGCTATTGCTGATGAGTAATCAAAGGACAAACTATGTTACAATTTTAAGCTTAATAAAAGCTTTCGATGCTCTGAATTGGGATGCTCTGGTAATGATGGTTCATGGAATGGTGGTGAGAATGGGATTTATATCAGAGCTCTCAGTTTTAATTGCTCTTATTGGGTTTTATTCCGTTTATAATATGGGAACTTGTTGGAGTTTGTTTCATCAACTACCCGATAAAGATGTTGTCTTATGGAGTGCTATTGTTGCTGCCTGTGTTAAGAATAAGGACTATCTGAAGGCTCTTGAATTGTTTAGAAGAATGCAGATTTTTGGGTTGAAAGTTAATCATGTTAGTATTATCAGCATTCTGCCTGCCTGTGCTAATCTTGGCGCTCTACGGTTGGGTAGAGAAATACACGGTTTTATTGTAAGAAGATTGTTTTACCGTGTTGTTAGTGTTCAGAATTCATTGGTTGATATGTATGCAAAGTGTAGGAGTCTTGAGACAGGGATTCGTGTTTTTGATGGGATGTTGAAGAAGGACTTGGTTTCTTGGAGGATTGTGATCCGTGGTTACATTGAGAATGAACGTTGTATAGAAGCAATTAATGTTTTTAAAATGATGCTGTTGTCTTTGTTTGCACCAGATGAATTTGTTGTCCGGGATATGATTATGGCCATGCTACAGTCTGGAGTAAAACTGGATCAGCATTTCATTGTTACATTCTCAAACGTGGGTTCTTGGATTTTGTTTCCATTGCAACTGCACTTTTGCAGATGTATGCTAAGTTTGGCATGGTAGGTTCAGCTAGGAGTGTATTCGACCACATTGGCAGTAAAGATGTCATTGCTTGGAATGCAATGATCATGTTTCCTCTTAATGCTGTGGATACATTTACACAGATGTTTTGGTTGAACATGAAACCTGATTACTTCAGTTTAATTAGTTTATTGCAAACGTGTTCTTTGATGTCATCACAAGAAGCATCTAATGAACTTGGAGATAGCATACATGCGTTCATAGAAAAAGTTGGTTACTCGAGGAATGTTTATTTGTCATCAGCCTTGATTGATTTCTACTGCAGATCTGGAAGGGTCAAGCAGGGACGGGCTCTTTTTGATGAAGTTCCTATCAAAGATCTCATTTGTTGGAGTTCAATGATTAATGGATATGGATTAAATGGTTATGGAGTTGAGGCTCTTGAGACATTCTCAAATATGTTAGATTGTGGGATAAAGCCCAATGAAATTATTTTTCTTTCAGTTTTATCTGTTTGTAGTCACCATGGGCTAGAATACGAGGGTTGAAACTGGTTTCATTCTATGAAAGAGAAGTATAATGTTACTCCTAAACTTGGGCACCATGCATGCATGGTGGATTTGCTCAGTCGCCAGGGTAATATTGAGCAAGCCCTGGACTTTGTGAAGAAAATGCCTATGGAACCAGATAAAAGAATCTGGGGAGCTCTTCTTGCTGGTTGTATATCAACACCTGGACCAATTGAGATTGTAAAGTTTGTTGTTGAACAGATTGCTACCTTGGACCCACAAAATTGTACTCAGTAGTACATGATTTTATCAGACCTATATACAGATGAAGGCAGAGGGGAAGATGTAGAGAGGATGAGAAGAGTGGTGGATGAGAATGCCTAGAAAGAAAAGGTTGGATACCTCAGTAGTTTGTCTTCTTTACATTATATCAATTGATTTGCTGAGGAGTAGCCAGTAGTTAAAGCAATTGATATTCTTTCTCTGTATGCAATTCATTTTATAGTATATTGAATTATAAAATTTGCAATTTTGTAAACCATGAGGTCTTTTCTTTTTATGGAATCCGAGATCTTTCTGGTATGCTACTAATGTTGTTGATCTTCTCATTTCATTTTATGGTTTGGAAATGATTCATGTTCCTGAAGATTGAACCGAGTTGGAGACGGTATTATTTTCCTTAATTTTGTAGTTGTTAAGCTCCTTCTCGATTTACCATGAAGTGTTCAATTGCGCACGATTTCAGTCATTATTTTTCTGCAAGGATCTATAGATTGTTTAATATGTTATTTCTGAAATCTAAGCAAACAGAATGGGATTTAGAAAAAATCATGCTTGCTGATCTGCTTTAGTTTAAACGCATTACTGCTCTGATTCTATATCTCTAGAAGAAAAACTATCATACTAAATGAAGACTAATCTTTAAACTAAACATCTATCTATCATGACAGCTGAGACCAAGTAAGACCTTGTTGGATATATAAATATATATATAAACAACTGATATCGATGAGCTCTATAACACTGTTCCAGTTTCTGTATACAAAACATTTTCCATGCTAGAATTAGATTAACATTGAATTCTTCTTGGGAGTTTGAAGTGTAGAATTTATGGCTAGAAGCCTAGAAGTTACACCAATTGGTACTTTAAAATTGAAGTAAATGTGTTATTAAATGAACTTTTAAAACTGATTGCATTAACGTTTTCCAATTTAATCACCATATAAATCCTTCATATTAATCACTCTATTGCAGTCTTGCTCCCTTAATTGCAGAACCACCAACACAGAAACCAAGTTTGCCCCTGTTCTATCTGCAGATTATCTCACACATGAAAGTAGGAATCCTTGAAGTTCTTGTCGTAAATGCCGAGGATATTAGACACACTAATCTTCTTGGTATCTCTCTCCCCCCTAGCTGTGGATCGTAAATATGTCCGGTTTAATCATGTTTTTTTCAACAGCTTCTTGTTCAAACTTTTAACAGTTTGGTTTTGATCATTTGGTCATAGGAAGACCTGCCTACTATGTTATATTACAATGCGGAGCTAAAGAATACAGAAGCAAAACATCTCCAGGTTCGTTTTCTACTTATTATGTAGGTCTATTGATGGCATGTAATTACTAATTTTGTTCTTTCCGGGTCTCTAGAAACGTGAGGATTGTGTTTTATGATTCAGGAAAACATAAGAAAGTACCGTGGAATGAGAAATTCAAGTTCGATTTTCCGCAATCCGAATGGGAAAAATGGACTTACATCAAATTCAAGATCATGGACAAGGAATTCTTCAAAGACAACGGATTTGTTGGTGAAACCAAGTAATCTATTTTGCTTCCTTCTTTCTTTCCCCTTATTATGTTTTTACCTCCATTCTCATTGCCTTGATACCTGCATTCACATTTAGAAACTAACCCGAATATATTTTACCTCCAGAATTCACCTTGGTGGAATTATTACCGAGGGGACCGACAAAGGATTTATAGAAGTGAGACCAGCTCCATACAATGTAGTGCTTGAAGATAATACCTATAAAGGACAGATCAAGATTGGATTTAAATTCATTGCTAATGTGGGTTTGCTTAGACCCCAAGTTTCCATTTAGTTAGCTTGCCATTTGCCAAGAAGATTAAAATCATTTGTTAAACTTTGCAGAAAGAAGTGGAAAATGAGATTCAAGAGCTTGCTGCGCTGCCTAATGAACCGAGATCACTTTATAGCTGCATCAGGTGTTTGTGGAACCTCCCGTGGTGGGTATATTTGTATCTCTTTAAACTCGAGAATTCCAAAAAGGAGCACAAAGATGATTAAGAGGAATAACAACACAAGTCAGTTGCATGTGATTTAATGTAAGATTTGTGACTTATGGTCTGAAAATCCCTCTGACTTTGAAAAATAAGACTTTACACCAATTTTGCAATTTGACCTAAAATGCCACAGGGTTCGAAGAAATGGAAGGCACGTCCATCTCAATGCAATTGTTTTGTTTGCAAAAGTCTATTTCACCCATGAATTATTACTCCCGAAGACTTGCTGTTTATTTCCAAGCTAACCTCCGACCATGCCAATTTCTTGGGGCCCCCATTAATAGAAGTTTCTAAAACATGCAACCAAAATAGAAATTTCCCTTGTTCGTAAATTGTAACCCATTAAAATCAAATTAAATTTGGTCAAAAAATTACAGAGTCGGATCTCTTTTAAATAAGATTTCATTTCAAAATCTTTACGACTCTAAACACAAGAGATCTCTGGCTAAAGCATGTATCATAGTGAAAACCCTAATTTACCTACTTTAAAACCACTGGATCCGACACCATCTTTTTCAACTTGTTATTCTCCACATGTTTTCCAAGACATGAATTATGAATAATTTCTTATATATTATTCCATATAAATTAAAAAACGTATCTTTTTACTATAACATAATAAAGCTTTTTACTATACCATACTCCAATCATAACGTGATAAAACAGCTCATTTTAAGTAATTTATTATACTAATCTTCTCATAATGAGCCCCCACATGGTAACCTAACTATGATAGGAAAAAAAACTCTAAATTCATGGATCGATTTCAGGGTTAAAAGACAGTTTCTGACACAGTCTCTGGAAACTAGAAATTTTAATTTCATTTAAGAAAAATAAAATAGTTGAGATTCTTCCTCACCAAACTATAAAATATTCTTCACGTATTTGCAATTTGCAATCATAAAATATAATCAACCCCATTCAATGTAATAGACAACTAAGGCGCACTCTGCATGTTCTATCAGAAACGGAAACAATACTCTTTCAACCAAAAAGAATCCAGAGACTTTTGCAACTTCCTTTTTCTCCAAAGAATCAAATCAAACCCTTTTTTCTCCAGATTCTGAAACTGGGTTTTTGTTGTCTGATTGGGAAAAAACATAAAGAAGCCAGCGATCAGACGGTTACGAACTCAAGATCCTTTTTTTCATGATCATGGTGGCATGGGAATGCAAAAAGAAAGTGTTTCTTTTGGAGAGAAAAAGTTAAAACAGAAATGCTTAGGAGGGAACTGTTTCAAACTTTCCTCAGATTACTAGCTATCTCAACGATTCCCGAATTCACTTGCTGTGCCCTTTAAAGGTAAGTTATTGGAAAAGAATGTAGCATTATCAACTAACCGTTGGCTTTGCTTTACATTTTCCCCCTCAAAATTTAGTGAATTATAGTTAGTCTGATAAAAACAACGACTTATGACCGTTAAGGACACCAAGCATTTGGCTTTTTTGTTTCTGCAATAAAGATGGTCATTTCCTTCTTTTTCTTCTTTCCAATGTTTTGCTGGGTCCATGTCTTAAAGTCCCATCAGTTCAGTTTGTTTTGATTATGCTTTAAAAATGTTCAAATCTTGAGCCCCACTGACAAATTTCATGATTATTTGCAGAGAATATAGTATTAGAATTAGTACTAATAGAGCAGCCAACTCAAATGGACAATTTATCAAACACCGACGAAAACTATGATCTGGGTTATCAGCCTTCTCCTTGTTCCACTGAACAAAATGATCAGTCAACTACAGAAACTCCGGGGTGTTCGACGATGAGCGGTGATTCTTTCTTGTATTGCCGCACTTATTCGGGGAACTCTGCGTTTTCGGAGCCTGTTGATGATCATAGTTTTTGTAGCGAAGCTTCACCTTCTCATTGTCCAGCAAGAAGATCTGGGGATCAGAAATTAGCTGTTCTTACAAGGCTTGGAAAGAAGCAGTGCAAAAGCAATGTAGATGAAAAGCTTGATGAATTGGAATCATTGGATTTAGGTAAAAACATTTGGAAAAGCTTTGCCTTTGATGCTAAATTATATGTTTCTTTTTTCATTCTAATGGGTGTAAATTATGTATGATAGAACTTGAAATGATGAAGGAAAGATTTGCAAAACTTTTACTTGGAGAAGACATGTCAGGAAGTGGAAAAGGAGTCTGTACAGCTGTTACCATCTCAAATGCCATAACCAATCTTTATGGTACATAGATTATATATTTTCAGACAACATGACTGTTTTTTTAGTTGTCATTTGAATCTATGAAATTGCTTAGTTTTATGTGGAATGTTAAAATTACTGCAGCGACTGTATTTGGACAAAATTTGAGGTTGGAGCCTTTGAACCATGAAAAGAAGGCACTTTGGAAAAGAGAAATGGACTGTCTTTTATCTGTTTGTGATTACATTGTGGAATTTTCTCTCACCAAGTCACAGAATTTGCGTAATGGAACAGCTGTTGAGGTAATGTTTCTTAGTCCAGACCAAAAGCTTTCTTTTAATGGAAATTTGGCTTCTTCGCTTGCTTTAACATGATGTTTTTTTTCCCTTTTAGATAATGGAAAGCAGACCGAGATCAGATATTTACATCAATCTTCCAGCATTGAGGAAGTTGGATGCAATGCTCATTGTAAGACAAGCTCTATGTGAGAAAATTGTAGTCTTTTATTATACTTGAAAACCTTATATCTCATAGCTCACATCCTTGTAACAGGAAATACTTGATAGCTTCCAGGACAGAGAATTCTTGTACGCGGAGCAAGGGAGTATGTCATCGAATTCTACCCGAACTGGCTCGTTTCGGAGAGTTGTTCAGAGAAACAACGAGAAGTGGTGGGTGCCAGTGCCATGTGTTCCTTCGAGTGGTCTCTCTGAGAAAGCAAGGAAGCACCTGCGACACAAACGAGAGTGTGCTAATCAAATTCACAAGGCGGCTATGTCTATCAACAGTGGTGTTCTTTCTGAGATGGAAATCCCAGACTCGTACATGGCATCCCTTCCAAAGGTTAGTCCGTCTGTTGACCGAATTGTATCTAGACAAATGTTCCATCCATGTATATTTTTAGAGAGCTGATGAACTCAGCTAATCTTATTAGAGTAACTATATACTGAACCCATAGCTTAGCTCAGTTAGTTCATGCAATCACTTTTCAAAGTCGATTGATGTTCGGTTGTAAGTCCCGATTCAATCTCTAACCCTTTTTTCCTCTAATTGACAGAGTGGGAGAGCCAGTATTGGAGATGCATTTTACCGCTTCATGTATTCCGCAGAAAAGTTCTCCCCTGAATATCTGCTCGATTGTCTCAATATAGCATCCGAACACGAAGCACTTGAGCTTGCAGACCGCGTCGAAGCTTCGATGTATACGTGGAGACGTAAAGCATGCATGAGCCATTCGAAATCATCATGGAGCATGATGAAAGACTTAATGTCCGATGTCGATCGAAGCGACAAAAACCATATATTAGCTGAAAGAGCAGAAAGATTGCTATTTGCATTGAAGCAAAGGTATCCCGAACTTTCACAAACGTCCTTAGACACCTGCAAAATTCAATACAATAGGGTAAGTGATCAAAACCGGTACTTTCCATCCGTAACAAGCAAGCTTTTTGACCTCTAATGATAGGAAATTAATGGGAATTCTGGGTTTTGCAGGATGTGGGGCAGGCGATACTGGAGAGTTATTCAAGAGTGTTAGAAGGTCTAGCTTTCAACATTGTTGCTTGGATTGAAGATGTGTTTTTTGTAGACAGTGCAACAAGAAACCCAGAGTGAGAAAAGCATTTTCCAACCCCAAACTCGTCTCTGCTGATTAACCCTGTCAATCATTTATGGTTGATAAATGATAAACCAAGCATTTTTTTCTTTTTCTTCTGTAATCCCATCAACATTTTGATTCCTGTTACATTTTAACTATATTTTTTGTTGCACGTTAGAATCCTTTGAAACAACAATCTGAAATAAAATAAACACTATAGCCGTATACTAGTATGATTTACTCTTACCTGTTAGTTGCACGTGCTTTAATCTTTTAGGATCTTAGGCTTTACATGCTCAAAACTCTAAATATTATGGTTAAATGTAAAAAATACGAAATTAACAATGCAATATGTGAAACACAAATTTCATAATCATACTAGAAACATTAATTTTAAAATTCTAAAACAATACTTTTTAGGTAAAGTATACAAATGGTTGCTGACCATATGATTCTACTTGTTGAATCCTCCTATTATTAAAAATTATAAAATGATGTCCTGAAATAAAATTTATGTAAATTCTCGATAATCAAAACTATTAAAAGTTTTTACAAAATAAATCTTAAAATTACGTAAAAATTTTATTTTTACATAAAAATCTTAATATATCACAAGTAAAGTCATGATTTTCTATAAATTAATTAATTAAGTTTTAAAATAAAAGAATGGCGTTATCAAATTAGAAGACTCGCTTGAATGTTTTGAAAGATGGATCACGTATTTTATAATTTTTCAGAGACTTGCTTGGTTGAATTGAGGCCCTGCCCTTCCATGGCCTTAACAGTGCCCATCCGATATATTTGTTTTAACCGAATGAGTACATCTTATGTTTGGTAAATATATACATACACGAAACATAATAACTACTTTGTCAAAATAATATTGGCGATGTCCACCCGCAACCAAAATTTTAAATCAAACTACCTAACATTCTACTCATCTTAAGCTAAAAGAGAAATATTATACCTCCAAAACAAATACATCAAAGAATGTTAACGTTAGATTAACATGGTCATCTCAAATTACTAATTTAATTAAAAAAAATACTACTCATAGATCTTTGATATAATTTTGATAGTAAAATCTGATAGTTGATAGTTATATGAACACAAACTAATATCATATCTGTAGACACTGATTTTCGCCCAACAACTCTATCCCCGGAATTCTCGGCACTAAATCAACAAGGATCATTTTTTAGTTCGAATAGAACTCTAAAACTGAAGTATTTGAGTCCAAATGGGACTCTAAATCTGTCTAAAAATAGCCAATCACTAGGCTATTTAAACACATGTAAATCAACAAGCAAGAGGGGGAGAAAAACGTGAAACGAAAATCAGGAGGAGGCACAGACAAAAAGGAAAACGAGGGAAGAACAAATGATTAGAAAACCAGAAAAAAAAAATGGTGGCTCGCAAGTTCCTGGTTCGCCACGACGACTCAACATTTAGCGTCGATTATGACACCGACGACGGTTTTGAAGTGTTTCAGTTCCAGCTCTTCTCCCTCACTTCAATTCCTCCCGATGAGCAAGAGATCGCCGGAGAAGAAGATGATGCGACGTTGTTAAAGGAAGATGTCATCGAACAACCTCACCCGCTTGAGCATTCATGGACCTTCTGGTTCGATAACCCACAAGCCAAATTACACTTTCCCAACCATCGAACAACTCTGGAGCCTTTACAATAACATGCATCATCCGAGCAAGTTGGCTGTGGGAGCAGACTTTCATTGTTTCAAACATAAGATCGAGCCTAAGTGGGAAGACTTTGTCTGTGCTAATGGAGGCAGATGGACCGTGACTTTCCAGAAGGAGAAATTAGATACATCTTGGTTGTACACGTTACTTTGAGTATGGTGATGAGATCTGTGGAGCAGTTGCCAACCATGTTACTGAACAGGAAAAGAGCACTGACAGGAGAAGTTGGTTTTTAAATTGAATTGCAAATGCATGAAAAAACTCATGTATGCATGAAATTAAGCAAAACCCCACATGGTTTAGAACTTTGGCCAAACTTTCCCTTTAGTCCCTCAATTATTTTGGTTTCCTTCCTTTTATTTCGTTTATTTTAAATTTTTTATTATTTATTTGATTTATTTTATCCATTTATTATAATTCTAAACTTATTTTTTTTACTTTGCAGTTACATTTATTTTATTTTGGGCCTTTTCCTTTATTTTTTTTATTCTTAATTTATTAAATATTTTTTCTTCTCCTTTGATTCATTTTTATTTTTACTTTTTACTCTGTAGACTTATTTATTTATTTTTTATCTAACGTTTTTGACCCATTTTCAGTAATAATCTCAATCGATCAAAGGTAAGTAATTTGAATCGGGTTTTTAAATTTAAATTTAAACTTTTTAATTTTCGCAATTAAGACAATCAATAAATTAATTGGTACTGAAAGGGCAGTTCAAGGGTGCTAACCCTTCCTTGACTGTAAACGACTCCCGAACCCGACACGTTTCTGGTACAACGCAGATCAGGTAAGATGGTGTCCGACCCACCTAAATTCGTTTTAAAGTGGTCGGTGGCGACTCCAATCCACATTTTTCAAGTCGAAGCCCATTCCGAGGCCCAACCGAAAGACGGTTACGACAGCTTGGCGACTCCGCTGGGGACAGGTAAGTGAGTCAGGCCGAAATTAATTTCCGGTTGTCTTTTTTAGCGAAAATTACAAGTTTAAATTTTAATTTATTTATTCGATTCGATTTATTTATCTTTGATTTTTGTTCCCAAGTAAATAGTTGTACTGACGTTTTTTCAATGATTTCAGATTTTTGAAAAAGTTTTCATCATTAGCTCTATACCCGAGCTCCAAACCTTTTTAAGTGGGGGTGAAAGCGACGTCTTCGTGGGAATTTATTCTCCGTATGGGCCTAGCAAGTAGCCTTCGGGATTCATATACCTTATGTCTTCGTGTGAATTTATTCACCGTCCGGGCATAAGAGAATGTTTTCTCCCGAGTTTAACTTAGTCCACACAAGCCTGTGATGGGTTTAGGACTAAGGGTCTGGTAAGCCCAAAGGGGCACCGGAAAGGATAACTCGGGTACCTTTTTTTAGAACCTAAACCGGGAGACTACAAGGAGTTAGAGCCCACCCCGAAACCTCATTCCAAACCCTAGGATGCCGGAATTATTTCCTACTTTACTTTCTGTTCAAAGCATGTGAACTAGAAATTTATGCGGTTAAGACTTGTTCAAAATCAACTTGTAGGATAGAGATCATGTTCGGGTAGGAATAATAAGCATGTGAGGTAGATATCATGTGGGGTAGGACTTTCATTTTTATTATCATTTTTTATTATTTTTCACATCACTAACTCTTTTCATCTTTCTTCTATTTTATTTATTTTCATCACTTGCATTATTCAAAAGAGGTCATTGATCCACTAAAACGTGTTTGTTAAAACTCGAATAGTCTGAATCCATGGACAAAGGTGTTGTAATACAAGAGATGAAAATACAGAGGATAGTCTACAAGGCGACTATGTGTCACATTCAATCCAAAAGATGTGGTGCCCATAATTGAAGAGTATATCACTCCGTTGCATTATAAAGAACTCAGAATGAACCAGGTCTACATCAAGCACAATGAAAGCTTATCTTTGAAGAACTGACTGACAGAGGTTGCAGGGGCAAGATGAAGGTTATGTATCTCGGAAGTCCCTTTGAACACAACAATGTCAAAATGATAGCTGAAATTGGAGACCATTGCTGGCGAATTCAAGAAACAGATTAATGAACTTCACATAGTTCCTATCAATTAAGGGTTCCAATGACGAATTCGTTGGGAACAGGCTCAACAGAAGTAAATGCTCGAGATGCGATCATTCGAGACTTCTTGGACCAATACAAAAAACAACTCAACATTTTCACTGTTCATCCAGAGAGGCCGGAGCGATTCGAAAGGTTATTCAACCGATGAAAGATGAAAGCAGAAGACTAGTCAACATGTCAGAAGCTGTCAGGATATTTTTGTCTCTTAAAAGATAAAACATTTTTGTCCCCAATAAGGATTATTCATAATAACAATCATATTTCTTGGATCAATGCCTCGAACATTTCATGCATTATTGTATTTTTTGCATCTTCATCTACATTTTTAAGCATTTTCATAAACATGAAATTAAATCACGGAGGATTCGATGAAGTGGTCTTAACCATATTACACCACATGGAAGCAAGATTTTAATAATTAAAGAAAAACTGAAATCAGTACAGGGGGAGCTGGATCAGCTGATTGTAGGACTAAGCCTGCCAGGATGATCTGAGAAAAGAGTACCCATCTCCTAAGGGCTACGATGTTGAAGTTATTGCCACATAAGGATTCCTAAACATTCTTCTGGAAAACTGTAAGGCGCTTGCCGAAGAAGGGGGCATGGCATATACCATTTGCACTAAGAGGACTGTTTTGTTTGAACATATCTTTTAAACGATTGAATTCATGTTACTTTCTAAGGTGGAGCAATTGAACAAAATTTAATCTTTAGTTCTTTGAATATTAAATGAATTAAGGATTCTTTTAATTCTTCAAGAATTATAGATTTTTGACATATGGCAAGATTAGACCTTTCTTACCCTGTCTCAAACCCTAGAATAAAACACATTGATTCTTTACCCAAAATAACTCATGGTCATTACCAAAAAGACCAAATTTTGACATTACCTCCCTTTAAAATTCTTGAACATTACCTTTATCTTTTTGATACACCCACACCTTTCTTTGAGTCAATAAGATCACACAACTGTCTTTAACCTTTTTTTTACCATTAAAACCAAAGGCATTGAGTTGTTCATTTGAACATGAGCATTCTTCCAAGACACAATTTGGGGCATCTCGCCGGGAGCCTGAACATTGAGACATGTTGGGAGCAAGGAGCAGAAAAAACAATTCATTCGAAATAATTCTATCATGCATTAATTGCACTGTTTTCATGTGAATATAATTAATCATGAAAATCTATTCCCCTGGGGATACCTCTTCTGTGAAGACTTCCATGTATGAGATGATGAACGGCTTTCTTTCTTTATCCCTTCACAACAGGAGAAAAATATATATCTCTTGTGTCTACTTTTGAGCCTATAGTATTTTTCTTCTGATTCAACCCTAACCAAGGATCACCCTCCACACTGGGGGGCAAGGTGGAGAAAACATGCTCGCATGAGTGAAGACATTGATTTAGATGAGATACCGAAAGGTGAACCAAATGCCAAGTGCGAATATTCAATAAGAAGCAAAAAAGGAAAAAAGAAAAGAAAAAAGAAAAAACAAAAAAAAAAAAACAAAAGAAAAAAGAAAGAACAAAGATCAAAAAGAAAAGGGGACAAAAAGCACATGCAAAGATTCCCTAAAGACAAATGGCACATCAAGCTTCAAACTCTGAGATTGATCAAGCACAATCATTCCCGAATCACTGAATCACTTCACTCGAAGATCATAGAGCATCAAGAAAGAGAAACATTTTGAGCAAGATTGAAGGCATCAGAATGAATTGATCCTTGGTTCAACACCCTGAAACACTTGTTTGATCCTATTTATCCTTTTCTTTCATAACCATGAACCCTGGCCTACATTACGTGCCTTAAAAGTCCTTCTAATCATACATGGATTTCTAAACAGAATAGGCTATTTTCAGATTTCATCCCGCCCATCAGGATTAATCTTTGTTTGCAAAAAACAATGTAATTAATGCATGGTAGAGAAAAATAACAAAGGGGGGTTCAAGACGTAAATCCTGAATAACATCTTGAAACCAAAGGAGGGTTCGAGTTGAAAACTTAAAAAGGTGACTCGAATATAAAATTGTGCAAACTGAGGCGTTCACGCTAATTCCTTGATAAGGCATCGTACAATCCGAGTGTGACAACAAAGGTTAGGAGTCAGAGAACACTTCCAACAGATGAGCATGCAAGCTACCCCATCAATCCTTTGAGCATCAAATACCAAACCTTTGAGCATCAAATGCCAAACCTTTGACAAAACACAATAACCTGAGACTTTTTTATATTTTCTTTACTTGACCATCTCCCAAAGATCGTTCGATCTTGGCACTTGTCAAATAGCTATAATTTATTGAAGGATTAACATTGTAATTAATTCTTTGATATCCAATGAACTCTAGTTTTATGATTCGTCTCAATTGTAAAACCGTGAAATTGGTAATATTTTCAAAACTTTGGAATAAACATTTTTCGAAGCTCTTTTTTGATATTTTCAGAACTTTGAAAATAAAAGATTTTTTCAAACAAGACAGTCTCTCTAGAGTGGATCTTGGTAAATGACATGTGACTCTTAGACACAAAACTCATGCTTATAATCAATGTTAAAACAAGAAATGAGGAACATTTGGGGCATCTTTGAGGATTCAACATCAAATATTGGGGTATTTTTGGATATTGGGGCATCTCTGGGGATTCAACATCCTAATGCGAATTATCAGACCTTTTTCAGGAGATAAAACATAACCAATTCATGTTACATGCATCTTATGCATATATTTTAGAACATCATATTTGTCATTTTTTTCTACATACATAATTTTTGCAGCTTTTAGAGTCAAGTTTCGACTTCAAGACGAAGGATACTCGATTCAAAAGCACCTTTAAAGATTGATATTGGTTGCTTAACTCAGCAGCAAGAAGCTACACTTCAACCAATTTGACATATTGAAAGATCGACAGATCTTAGAATCAACTTCAGACGAGTTCGAGAGCTAATTCAGAACCGATCCAGTTCGCATTTTCAAGTT